GCTATCAAGTCGTGCCGGCTGGAGCTCAGCGTTAAGAACAAGGACCGCTGGTGCCATGAGATCGACATCATGAAGAAGTGAGTGCGGGCGGCACGGCACGGCTCGGCTCCGCGGTCCTGACCAGCTGAGAGAGGGGAGAGCCGCGGTCAGTCCCCGGACCGGCCGGGGCGGGGGGACAGCTAGCGGGCACACACTGGGCTGTCCAGGAGAGGGGACAGCCGTGAGACAGCCACTGGACCGTCCAGGAGAGGGAGCAGCCGGGGCCTTGGCCCCTGAACTGGCTGGGAAGAGGGGATGACCAAGATCTTGGTTCCTGAACCGGCTGGGAAACAGGACCGTGGATGGCATGGGGACAGCTGAAACTTCAGCTGCTGAAACAGCTGGGGAGTGGGGACAGCTGGGGGTCAGCCACTGGACTGGCTGGGAGAGAGGACAAACAGGGTCTCAGCCCCTGAACTGGCCAGGGAGAGGCTCTGCCTGTTACCTGGCAGCTCTGTGCTGGTTTATGTCTCATCCTGGCTCATGCTTTGGCTTGGGACCTGGCAGATCCCATGCCCCTGCACTATTTTGTTGCCTGGGCTATTGGTCCATCTGAAATTCTTCCAAACTCGCACCACGTGTTGGGTTTTAACGTTGTGACTTGGGAGCACCCACATGTTCCCATTCCATGCAGTGCGTTTGTCTTGGATTTTAGGGATCCTGGGGTTGCTTTTATTCTGTCATGTTCCTGCATGTACAGAATAATCTCTGCTCACACTTTCTTGTGAGAAACTACACTGTGCTGCCCTCTCTCCTTTTGCAGCACAGCTCTGAGGTACCTGTGAACCAGGACTGGCCAGGTTTGCCCTCATGGATGTGAGCAGAATTGTTCCCTTGTCCTGAGAATTCCTCCTCTCTTTCGAGAGAGGTCCTGGAGCAGGGAATCCTCTGTCCCACTGGTGGGAGCAGGGATGCTCTGAGCTGTCCTCACCAAGGCCTGCAGTGCCCCTGCTGCATAGGGCTGTACTGAGCTCCTGCTGTCACCTTGTCCCCCTCACCTGCTCACCGTGTGTGCTGACACTGGGGGAAGCCACTTGCAGGGAACCTGAGTTTGGAAGTCCTTGGTGATCCCTGTTCTTGTTGCTAAAAACAGACACTGAGCCACACAGCTACAGCTGCCCTTGCAGTGGTTTCCAGAGGCTTTGGAAGGTGTGCACAGGAGTAATTTGTCTTCATTTCCTTCTGGATGTGTTGTTTATTCCCAAGAGTAGTGTATATTGGAAAGAGTCAGGGAACAGCTGTTTCAATTCAGTTGCAGAGGTGAATCCTTCCCTCTGTGCATGATTTCACCTGCCTGGAGCAGTTACACAGGTGTTAGCGGATTCCTACAAACCCCTTGGGCCAGGGAGGTCTGTCCCCACAGGCAGAAGCAGACACATAGGTACAACTTTGCCAGGAATATGTAAGAATCCAGAGCTTGATCCTGGAGCCCCATCATCACAGTTCTATACCTTGACTTTGAGACATCACTGCTGCTCATCACGCTGGTATCCAAGGTATGGATTTCATGCATTTGGGTACTGATAGGTACCAGTTGAAGAGTACACTTGTCAGGAGGGATACACTTGGGGAACACAAGCTGTCCCTGGAGCATGAACCATGATGGGATTGCAATCATAGGACCATCAAGGTTGCAGGAGACCTCTAAGGTCATCAAGTTCAACCATTAACCTGTCACTGCTGTAACCCCTAAACCCTAAACCATATCCTCCAGCATCAGATCTGTTGTCTCATTCTTCCAAAGGAGGAGTCAGAGGTTTCATCCACCTTTCCCTGTGCTTAGGTTGAACCATCCCAATGTAGTAAGAGCCTGTGAAGTTCCTGAGGAGATGAACTTTCTGGTGAACGATGTTCCTCTGCTGGCCATGGAGTATTGCTCAGGGGGTGACCTGCGGAAGGTAACTCCTGCTTTGCCTTCAGCATGTCCCAAAATCAGGGGTGTTGATGCTGTTCCTGTCATCACGTCTGGTCTGTGGCACTTTACTTTTTAGCTACAGGTGGGAGGAAGTAAAGTGGGGAAAAAAGCATGTGGGAGACGAGGCTTTTGAAACCAGAGGGCAACCCAAGAGCAGATGCTCTTTTATCCTGGAGCAGTGTGTCCTTTCATGGAGCTGTTTTGGCACTAACACAACTTCCTATAGCCTGGGTGCTTGCACCCAGCACATTTAGCTTTGCTGCAGTGTCTCCACGTGTTCAGGGTCTGATCTGGTGTGGATTCACATGCATCCAGTGTTACATTGCTCTCAGCACAGGGAGGGATCCTGTTAGTGCTGGACTGGGGCCTCCAGGGCTTCTGAGACTGTCC